TAGGTTGGTGAGAAGTGAGTCTACTTGCTATAGTTGCCTTTGTTGTGTTTTTAATCATTGATTTTCCTTTGAGAATCCCAAATTATAGTCCCAAGACCTTACAGATTGTCCATTCCAAAGCCTGCCTTTTACTGATTAAGAAACAAAAGACTCAAAGACTTGTTCGATGTAATAATACTAATTAGCCAGGACTAAAACCTCAGGTTTCAGAATATGCTATAATCCTCTTTCCATTCTAAGCTGCCTAAAAGTTTTCCTGTACCTTCTTTCTCAGCAAAAAGCATTTTCTTTTTTTTTTTTTCTTTTTGTCTTTTTTCGTGTCCGGCAACGGATCACAACCCTCAGTGTCGCACCCGTACCGGACCGGGACCGGCAATGGGATCGCAACCCTCAGTGTTGCACCGCACCTTGCACAGCCAGTGAGCGGGAACCGGTCTGCATGTGGGATCCAAACCCTCGGCGGGAGTGCCGCCGCACTCCCAAGCGGCGCACTGTAGCAGTGCGCCACCGGGCCGGCCCAGCAAAAAGCATTTTCAATGTTAGATAAATAAATCCTTTTCCTCCCCACTCTTCTCTGTCTTCCTCATCTCTACTTTTTCCTCTATCTCAAGGAGGAGCTATGTTCTCCAATTTTCTCGTATGATTTTCTATTATACTGAAGGGGGGGAGGTTAGTGGGAGGGGCGGTTCTTAAATATACACAGAGTTGATCCTAAATTTTCCAGGTCTCCTTGGTATCTTGCTGATAAAATGTATAAAATAGTGGTTTTCAAACTGTGCTCCATTTGGGGATGGGGAGAAAGATGGAACTGGGTGAGACTCTGCCTCCCCCACCTCTGGTTCTACCAGAACAATTATACTTTTATATGTTTCATGTACTGGGCTTCCAAGAAAGATTTCATTTGAATAAAGGGTTTAAAAGGAGGAGGAGGAGGAAGAAGAAAAGAGAGAGACATTTGAAAACCACTAATTTAGACCATGGATGAAGTTCAAAAGGAATCACAGGGATCTCCAAATAAAACTCTGGGAACAATGGGAAAAACCAGGACCATATCACCCACTCTCATTTCCTTGAGACATAGACTAGGAAGGTCTGGGGCAGTACTGGACTGGAAATCCCAATTCCTGGTGGGAAATGGAAGCATCAAAAAATAAATTGGAAGTAGGTAGATGTGGTACATTTTCTCAGTTACCATTTGTTCAGGGCCCAGCCGTTCTCTGGAAGCCTGAAATGAACCCACATCTGTATTCAGAACTGATTTTGACAAAGGTGCACATGTTAGTCAATGGAAGAAAGATAGCCTTTTCAATAAATGGTGCTGGAGCAATTGGATATCCATAGGCAAAAAAAAAAAAAAAAAAAGGTCAACTAAACCTCACATCTTATGCAAGAAATTAACTTAAAAATGGATTATAGGCTTAAATGTAAAACATTTAACAGGAGAAAATCTTCAGATCTTTGGCTAGGCAAAGAGTTCTTAGATTTGACAACAAAAGTATAATCCATAAAAGAAAAATCTGATAAATTGGATAAATTGTAACTCATCAAAATTAAAAACTTTGCTTTGCCAAAGACCATGAAAAAGGTATGAAAAGACAAGCTGTAGATGGAGAGAAAATGTTTGCAACCTACATATCTAGCAAAAGCCTTATTTAGATAATATAAAAATAATTCTTATAACTCAACAGTTTTATGCAACTGGGAAATGAACAAAAGATATGAAGAAACAGTTTACTGAGGCGGAGAAATGTCAACTGAGCACATGAAAAGATGTTTAACGTCATTAGCTATCAGGGAAATGCAAATTAAAACCACAATGATATATCACTACAAATCCACAAAAATGGCTAAAACAAAAGTAGTGAAAACACTTGATACTGGTGAGGATGTAAAGAAACTGAATCACTCATACTTTGCTGGTAAGAATGCAAATGGTACAAGCCATTCTGGAAAACAATATGGCAGTCCTTTACAAAACCAAACATGCAATTACCATACAACTCAGCAGTTGTACTCTTGAGCATTTGTCCCAGAGAAATAAAAACATGTTCACACAAAAACCTGTATAGGAATGTTTACAGCAGCTTTGTTTGCAATAGCCCAAAACTGGAATTATCCCACATGCCCTTCAATGGGTGAATGGTTAAACAAACTGTGGTACACAGTTAAAAAAAAAGTCTAGCTACTTAAATCCTCTATTTTCTAAATACTATCTATATTGCTTTCCTAGCCAGTAACAATATTAAGCTATTTGAAATGCATCTCCCTGTTTCTTTTCCAACCAACAAGCTGTCAGTATTTCTGTTAAAAATTGGAGTCGCCCACTGACAATAGTCGCCACAAAAATAAAATACCTAGGAATCAATTTAACCAAGGAGGTGAAAGATCTCTACAATGAGAACTACAAACCACTACTGAAAGAAATTAAAGAAGACACAAAAAGATGGAAAGAAATTCCATGCTCTTGGATTAGAAGAATTAACATTGTGAAAATGTCCATATACTCAAAGCAGTCTACAGATTCAGTGCAATCCCCATCAATATACCAATGACATTCATCACAGAAATGGAAAAAACAATCTTAACATTCATATGGAACAACAAAAGACTCTGCATAGTCAAAGCAATCCTGAGCAAAAGTAAATAAATAAGACCCCAAACAGCCAAAGCAATCCTGAGCAAAAAAATAAAACCAGAAGCATAACACTACCTGACTTCAAATTATACTACAAAGCTATAGTAACCAAAATAACATGGTGCTGACATAAAAATAGACACTTGGACCAGTAGAGCAGGATAGAGAACCTAGAAATCACCCCAAAGACCTACAGCCAATTGATCTTTGACATAGGCAACAAGAACATACATTGGGGAAAAGACTGCCTCTTAAATAAGTGGTCCTGGGAAAATTGGACATAAATGGTGCTTGGAAAACTGGACTTCCATATGCAGAAGAATGAAACTAGACCTGCACCTCTCACCACATACCAAAATCAACTCAAAATCGATTAAAGACTTAAGTATAAGACCTGAAACTGTAAAATTACTAAGGGAAAATATAGGGGAAACTCTTCAGGAACTAGGTCTGGGCATAGACTTTATGAACAAGAGCCCCAAAACACAAGCAACAAAAGGAAAAATTTAAAAAATGGGACTATCGAGCTAAAAAGCTCTGGGAGAAAATATTTGCAAACTGCACATCTGACAAGGGATTACTATCCCGAATATACAAGGAATTCAAGAAATTAAATAACCCAATTAAAAAATGGGCACAAGAACTGAATAGATATTTTTCCAAGGAAGACATACAAATGGCCAACAGGTACATGAAAAAATCCTCAACATCACTAATCATCAGGGAAATGCAAATTAAAACCATATTAAGGTATTACCTCACCCCAGTTAGACTGGCTGTAATCAAAAAGACAGAGAATAACAAATACTGGAGAGGATGTGGAGAGAAAGGAATGCTCCTGCACTGTTGGTGGGACTGTAAAATTAGTACAACCACTATGGAAAATGGTATGGAGGTTTCTGGAACAACTACAGATAGATCTTCCATATGATCCAATAATCCCTCTTCTAGGTATATACCCAAAGGAATGGAAGTCATCATGTTGAAGGGGCTACCTGCATTCCCATGTTCATCACAGCTCTATTTACGATAGCAAAGATATGGAACCAACCTAAATGTCCATCAAGACGATTGAATAAGGAAAATGTGGTATATATACACCATGGAATACTACTCTCCCATAAAAAAGTGAAATTCTGCCATTTGCAACAACTTGGAGAAAATTATGTTAAGTGAAATAAGCCAGACACAGAGGGAAAAGTACCACATGTTCTCGCTCATAAGTGGGAGCTAAGAGAGAAAGAAGGAAGGAAAGAAAGACCACAGTGATTCATTGGACTTGCAGAGGGAGACAGCATGCCTAGGGTTGCGGAGTGGGGTGGGGAAAGGGGGGAGGAAGAGGGAGATCGGGGATTAATTGGGTGGGGGACGTGAGGAATAATCACAATTTGTGGTAACAGGCATGCTGATGGTATTGATCTGGCCATCACATCTTGGGCACAAGTGGTGACAGTCAGCTTTGTACCCCATGAATATTCATAACCAATAAAAACAAATTGGAGTCACACTGACCTAGATTTGTATACAGGCTCTGTCACCTACTAAGATGTGACCCTGAGCAACTTTCTTTAACTCTTTGAGCTTCATTTTTCTGATTTGTAATTATTAAACACAATCATGCATGGAAAGTATTTAGCACGGTGCCTGGGACGTAGTGAGTACTCCATAAATGGTAACTCTTTTCTATTGTTTTTGCTGTTGTTTCTTTTAATCATGCTTAAATGTTGGCACTACAATAAAAGAAATAAATACCTAAAAAAACCAAAAAACAAAAACTGTGGTTCATCCACAGCATGGAATACTACTCAGCAATATAAAGGAGCAGATTATTGATACATCCAACAACTTGGTTAAGTTATACTGAATGAAGAAGGCAAATCCCAAAAGGTTACATACTGTATGATTTCATTTATATAACATTCTTGAAATGCCAAAATTATCGAGACAGGAAACAGGTTATTAGTTACCAGGGCTTAGGAATGGGGGGAAGGGTAGAAGTAGATATAAAGGAGTTACACAAGGGAGCCCTGTGGTGGGTGTCCAGTTCTGTATCTTGACTATGGTGGTAGTCATACAAATATACAAAGGTGATAAAATTGCGTGGTACTACACACACACGCACACACACACACACACACACAAATGAGTATATGCAAAACTCCAGGATGTTACCGTTAGGGGAAATTGAGGGAAGGGTGCATTGGTACAAGAGAACCTCCCCGAACATTTTTTCAACTTCCTATAAATCTAAAATTATTTCAAAATAAAAATTAGAGGAAGTATTAATTAAAAAACTAAAACAGTCATTCTGGAGCTCAAGATGTCAAGAAAAGGAAAGTTAACTTTGTGTCTTCTCTTCTTACAGGACCTGTACCTGCCTCTGTCCTTGGATGACTCAGACTCACTTGGAGATTCCATGTGAAGGAGAAAAGAGCACTCAGAGTCCAGAGTACAAATCCAAGCCTACCATTACAGTAGGGTACTTCTGCTCAAGTGTCCAACAAGGCTATTGGTGCTTTCAAGTTTTTTGTTGTTCTTGTCGTTATTTTTAGAGACACACTGTAATAAGTTGGGTTTATTTTCCTGTGATTTCTCTTCTGGGCCACTGATCCACAGTTACCAATTATGAGAGATAGATCGATAACCATCCTTTGGGGTAACTTTCAGGGATGCAAAATGTGCTAGTCCATGATCTTTCTATTGAATGCTTGGGCACCTGCGTTATTTTTCCCCATATCACTTCATTCATACACTACAGTCTTCCTTCTGTAGAGGACTGTCAACACACACAGCACTTAAAATGTTTGCGTGGGAAAAAATTTGTTGGTGTATCCAAGAGTGACCAACACAAGTGCCCATTGTCTCCTGATCTCAAGAATGTCGGAGGATCCCAGGAGGACAGCTAGGCAGCTCCCCCTCCCTGCTCCTCACTCCTGATTAAGCCCCCAGTTTATTGTTCAGCACCAATTCTGGCTGTCAAGGGGAAGAAACACCAGCAATTTGTAACTGTGACACCAGATGCTTAGGACCCAGGTGCAGAGCTAGTTAAAAGAGACTAGGCAGAATTGGGAAATACTGCAGACATTTCAGTAGACTTTATAAAGCACAGTGAATTCCTTATTAACTTCTCCACTGGGGCAATTTGGAATCAATAAGCAATTGATAAGAGTTTGGGGTAAGGGACATCATATACATACTTGATTCCTGTAGGAGGCTGTCTAACATACTGAGTTATTACACAAACTGCATGGTATCCATCTATCTCTATTCTATTGAATGCCTTGTAAACAGCCAACACTGAAAACACTGTGAAAATTTGTTTTCAGGTCTGACACCTTTCAGTCGCTTTTTATAGCAAGAAACCAATATCCTTTTTATAAAAACTCATGTCTGTAGTTCAGGAGCAAACTCTTCAGGCTCCTTTTTTATAAACTGGTGATTTTTCTTTTGTCTAAAAAACACATGCAGAAAATTTACCAAAAAAATGCAGAAGAATAATGTAGTTTAGAAATCATGCTGTCACTGCCAAACAGAAACTTCCAGGAGAAAACAAAATGAATAGCAGAGGCCAATTCAATAGAATCAGTCTTTTGATAACTTTTTAACAGTTTTGCTTACATTAATAATTTCAATGTGGACCAGACATTCTAATTATATTTTAAATGAAATGTTATGGCATATTTTAAGCAACTCTTTTTTATCTATGATTCTAAGATTTCATACTGAAGACACAGAAATCTTTCACTAGTCTTTGACATTAGAAAGGATTTTACTTTACTGAGGACTGATCATTTGAAATAGTTCTCAGTCTTTGAGGTACAGGTTCATAATACTTCTTTTTGTCTGTAATCATAGCCCATAATGGCAAAGATAACTAAACTTAAGTTAAAGCCATGCATGCCAATTCTGTGTTTGCTTTTAGCAGATATGAATATTTCGTTATTTCTTTGTAATTGTTCAGATATTTTGAAAGGTGCAGCATTCGAAGCCAAGCTGCTGTTTGGCTACTGAATGACTTGCACTCGTTCCTCCACTCTAAATGGAATGAGCTTGCTGTGCACACGTGTGTGTGTGTGTGCGCATCTGCTTCATAATTAGGACACCTCAACATGGATTGGTGGCATTGCTGATGTGCGCTGTGTAGGGGGGATCCCAGCGGTGGGGATAGTTCAGATGCCCTTAGACAAGTTGCAAATGTGCTTAGCAACCAGAAGCATTTTTCCTTCAGGAGAAGTGAGATGATGGCAGTACTGGCTTCTGGTTAAATTGGTCATTGAAGAACCCCAAATTCTGAGGATCTCTTTTTGCTCCCCTCCCTTATTTGTAGACCCATTTGAAATCATAAAGAAGCCCATTTCACTTAGCCTCTATTTCTTTCTAAAAGCTCAGGGTTTTCTTAGTGCCTCCCAGAACAGTTTGTAGTTAGTTGGGAAAAATTGGTACTTGGGATAAAGAGGATGGGGATAGGGAGTAGTGGGGAGCCTGTTTTTAAACTTCAGGCCAGACCCTCAAGGACTCCACCTGTGGTCTCTCTAGATCCATTTAGTCTAATATCTTCATTTTAAGATGAGGAAACAGAGGCCCAGGCTGCTCAATGAGCTGCTGGTAAAGAGCAGAAGCACGGGAAGAATCCAGATTTCCTCATGGCCAGGCCCCACACTAGCTCTCTGAGCATTTCTTTGACTGTGGCATATGTACCACTAGAAAATACTAAATGGACATATTTTCTGTAGAGTGGTCTTTGAACCAACTATCTCCTATAACAATAGTACATTTTTCACCCTTTTAAAAAATCAACTATAAAGAAATGTTTCTGTACTGCCACATCAAGGGGGCTTGTTACAGTTCAAAATTCCAGTCTCCAATGAGCATTTGAAATTGGTCCGTTTTCAAGGCCAAAAAAAAAAACAACTATGTAACTGAGCTCCTCCCCCCCGTCATTCATTCCCAATTTTACCTAATCCAGTTTTACCACTCAAGTCTCATTGTGTTAACTTGCACACAGTCAGCAAACATCAAGCCAGCAAGCATTTGCCACCACTTCCTATACTTCTCCCTCCATCTTACACACACACACACACACACACACACACACACACACACACACACACACACACACGAGTCCATCTGTTGCTTGTTCCTACCTCCTGATTTTCCTTCCCTACAGAAATAGAAATAGGGACAAAGAAGGGAAAAATGTATATATGGGGGCTGGGCTGAACAACTAACTTCATAAGTAGTGTTAACTAGGGGTAAATTGAGAGAAAAGTTCCTTTTCTCCTCACTGTTTTGGAAAGGATAGCCATTAGCATGACTGCTTTGTGTCCTTACAAACTTTAGTATTAATTAGCCTAGATTGAATCATAGAGTTTTCTAGCTGGAAGGAACCTTCAGATCACCTCATCTCCTCCAAATTCCTCATTTTTCAGGCCAGGAATCGGAGACGCAGAGGCAAAGTAATTTCCCCAAGGTCACACAGCTGGCTAGGGGCAGGGCTGGGATTAGAACCCGCATCTCCTGGCTCTTATTCCAAGGCTTTTTCCCACTAAACAATATTGCCTTCCACTAGGCTCCTGAGAATTCTTTCCCAGGGTCATGTTGCATCTTGGAGCCATATGCTGCTGCCCTGATCTCAGCGAGAAATCCACCCAGCAACCTAATACGGCCCTTTCTCCCTGCATTCACATGGTTCCCATTCACATGGGCTGCAGATGTCCCTGAAGAGAACGAGGCATTGAGGACCAATAAGAACAATGGGGTCCCTGGCCTTGTCCATCGGAGTCAGTGGATCACTGCCCCACCTTGAGGAGCCTTCTGAGCTCCTGCATAGTCCAAAGAATGCAGGAAGGCTGGTTTTCCCTGTCATCTCACCTCATGTCATATACTGGTTGGTCTTCCCAGGCTGAGGAAATAGTTCTTGTTTCCAGAGCAGGGAAAGGAAGGAAGAGCAGAACAATAGCTTTGTTCATCCGGACTTTCTGAGATGGCTTTTCAGCATTTTTTAAACTAGTTCACTGGCAATGATTTCTTTTAAAGTATGGGAGTGAGACCAGCTAGAGAAAATAACCTGGTCTTACTGTGGTTGCTCTCATCCAGTGTCCCCGTAGCCATCCTGCCCAGATGGGGACAGCTTCCAGATATAAGCAAGGGGCTTTGTGACTAAAATGTACCCTGGCTTATGTTAAACATTGGCTCCTTATGTTTACACCAAAATAGCAAGCCGTGTGCTCTATACACCGTATCCATCTTCCTGTGTACACTGCTCCTATGGCCTGTCATGGCAGAAATCAGGGCGACAAGGTCTGAACTCGCTGTTTTCCTCACAGCAAGGCTCTTCCTGGGAATCAAGGGGTATTCATTAGATCTCCTTCTGGGCCTACCCACTCCTCGGGTACTTCTCTCTCCTTCCTGCTTCTCTTCTCCAATCAGAAGTAACCAAGGAACCTTAAAGTGGATGTGTAGCTATCTGAAGAAGGCAAGAACGGGGTCTGAGCCCTTAGATCCTACTTAGAATCACCCAAGTCTTAGACCAGCAATGCAGGGCTTGCCTCAGACAAAAATTGTGTCTGCATCTCTAGTCCCTTCAACACTCTGGGTACAGATACCCCCAACCCCCCTCAAATTTGATTCTAAATGGCTTTTCTTTTTTAAAAAAATAAAACACACATTTGCCTGGGATGGGGGAACAAACATACCCCTGTCCCCAAAATGAGCTCCAGCACAGTGATAGGAGTGTTCCCAAATATCAGCCCACCTCGGAAACATCTGTGCCAAAAGACTTCCCCAGGCAGAAGCACTGGGACAGTGTGGTTTGAATGACTTCCTTCATTCTGGTCCAGCTTGCTATAGAAATAAATAACATTGGATATTTCTTAAAAAAAAGAAAGAAAGAAAGAAAGAAAGAAGGAAGGAAGGAAGGAAGGAAGGAAGGAAGGAAGGAAGGAAGGAAGGAAGGAAGGAAGGAAGGAAGGAAGGAAGGAAGGAAGGAAGGAAGGAAGGAAGAAAGAAAAAAGCAATCAGAACCTGTCCTTGTCCATATGGGGCCACTTGGACCCATGGCTAGGTCTCAGTCATGTATTGCCCTCACTGCATTAAGAGATTTGGCTTTTAGGCTCAGGCTAGTTTCTTAAGTAAACCATCAGTGCTCTGGAGCTCGCATGGGGCAAGGGGGGGGGGGCTGGAGTCTTATATTTTGGGACCTGGAATCCAGAGAGGGCAAAAGCTGAGTGCTGGCCCAGACATTGATAAGATGTCAGGAACGATCTGGGACCTCTTTCGTAGCGATGGAGTGTTGCAAATGCTAGGCTTCCTGGGTCTCGCTCCCAGTACGGAAGTTAGAAGCTGTCACACTTCTGCCTGTGCCCTAAGAAGAGGACCCCATATGTAGCCCCACCAAGTGTTCCCTGAGCCCATGCAGGTTTTCCTCTTCTTGCAGGTGCGATCACCTGGAGCAAGGATAATGCATTGGTTCTTCATGCCTATCTTTTGGCTGTAGAGGCATCTCCATCAGGTTCTCTGGCTGTTGGTGCCCCAGATCCAGTCTGGTGCTGTTAACACTCAGTGAATCGCCTTTAGTCAGCCCTAAAGCCTGGATCAAGATAACACAGGTCATTTCTTAAAAGTGAGTTCCTAATTTTATTCCTCCTCTGTCTAGCAGACCTCACTTCCCTAGAAGGTAAAAGGCTGGAGATTCTTGATACACAGCGGCCAAGCCACGTGTGCAGGGAGGAAGATGCATTTCTAAACCTGCAGAGCACTGACTCCAGTGGGCTACCTACTGTGTGTTATGACTGTTAGCAGTTCTCCTAGCCCCTTTCACTTTTTCTCTTCAGAGACTGGAAAGCTCCTTCCCCATCAGTCTTTAAGCATGCCTAGCAGAAGAATGTTGCCTCTCCTGTCCCTTCAGGAAAAGGTGCCTTCCCTCTCTGTCTCCCCTATCCTGGTCCCCAGAGCTTGCTTCCATTCCCAAAGGTGTAATGTGGTCTTTATACCCAGCCTCTTGGGGTTGCTTCCTGCTTCTTTCCTTGTTAAAGATTCATGCAGACCTCCCACTTTGGTCTAGCTAGTGTGACATTGGTTATCATTTGACAAGACTAAGGTTTCATCCCTTAGTTTGTTGACTTCAACATCTTATGGAATCAGAGGTGATTTTTTCTTACTTTGGATGTCTGGAGCTAGGGAAGTATAGAATTTCCATGATCTCCTGATTCTGGTTAGAAGGGCATTTTAGTTGGGAGAGGTCAGATGGCACAACAGGAGTGAGAACAAACACCTTGTTAACTAAGGCAAGGCATTGAAATTAATTTCTCATTTCAAGAGGGCTGGCTGATTACCTCAGTTGGTTAGAGCATGGGGCTGATAACACTAAGGTCCAGGGTTCCATCCCTGCACCGGCCAGCTGCAAAAAACAAACAAACAAATAAACAAAAAATTCAATCTCATTTCTGGGTTAATAACCTGAGGGACTCAATGGCTTTTTGCACTTAGCTCCCCTGTGTATCTCTTTGCCTTTTCTTTCTCTCTCTAGTTAAGGAACTATTTGTTCTCAGTTTGTACTCTGTGTTATCACTCTCTTTTTCCACAGTACCAACATCCATCTGCTTTTTCCTTCCTTTCTGTCTAGGTGTTAGGCATATGCCTCTCTTAGCCTATAATTTTGCCCTGGGACTGATGAGAAATTATTTCCAGACTCAACCAGCCTTGGTCCAACCGCAGTTCAGTCAGAATTATGTTGGTGGGAATCAACCTGATCCTGGCCCTTTCTTCTCTATTTTCAGTCTTAATTTCCTTCAGCAGATCCTCACATGCAGTTTCCTTACAGCTCTTGTATCTTTAGGTCTTTGCCTTCCAAGCACTGTACAGAATACTTTGTGGTTCCTTTTTAGTCTGCCATTTTGTGGAGCGGTGAAGCATGCTCAGAGAGATAATCAGCTGAACAGAAAAATCCACCCATGTATTCATATCAGCTAAATACTACTGATTGGTTTTGTTTAATTTGCTCATAGTTTTAAAAGCTGCAATATAATATAATGAGAGACCACAGGTAATTTCTCCTGTCATTTGGTTTGGCTGGGTGGGGGTGGGGAGGAGTAATTTGTTTTAAGTTTTACCATTACATATTAAGCTCTCTGTAATAACCTTGTTTGAGGCTTGCTAACTTTTGAGCTGTTTTAGCTAAACTGGTAGACAATTGGAGTTGATCTAAATAAAAATGGTATTTAACAAATCCATATTATAAAAAGAAAATTCACTTAATTGAAATGTATTTTTCCTTCTATTACTAGATTCACCTAAACATTCACTTTTGACACCAACTGTTCATGATCTTGCACAGGCAGTCCATATAAGAGTAATTAGCATACCTAAAAGGCCAGCTTGTAGGTGCTGATTTATTCAACAGAGTGCACAGCCCTTGGGAATGTCTCTGATTGGCAATACCATATGGAACGCCGAAATTTCCAATGACTTTTCTTTATAAGTTCTTTTAAAGGGGGTTGAGCAAGTGAGAGGTTATGCCAAAATATTTCCAATGTATGGTCTTGTAATATATTGCAGCTTGAAGCCAATGATCCCTTATAACTTGTACACAGCTAATGCATGTTTTGATTGAATTTTGCATTTCTCATGTGTGGTAAGTTCTATAAAATGTTTTTGGTCACCTTTTTGTGCCATTAAACTTGTACAGAAAATGCTTTTATGGCCATTTTCAAAGGGAGAAAGTTTAAAATGGAAACAGCCCACCCTTTCTTCCCTATAGCTGTAGTTAGAATTGAGTAACTGTAGCAAAACAGCTGTAATTGGTGGTTGTAGTGTTAGAAGTGTTAGCTTGCTAGTGACTAGCTTTGGAGAGTAAATGCATGGTATTGTACATCACATTTCTTAAATAACTCATTTTA